CAGGGGCCATGCGAGGGGAACAGCAAGCAGCTTTGGAACTAACTCATGGAAAACGGCTCATAGGTTAACATGACCGCGGTGGGTGTGTCCTGGAGAGGCAGAGTCCCGAAGACCTCATGCTGTTATTGATCATAGCTCTGCTTATTACCCTCATGGTCACCACATCCCTCATAATCTATGAGTTGTAAGGAAACTCTCAGGGGGTTTCTAGTCCTTCTCTAGGCAGGGCCACGGATATGTACAATAATAGAGATTGATTTTTTTCCCCAAGCATTGCTGCTGGAGCAGATGGTGATTTAACCACCACTCTTGGAGATGTAGATGGTTGGTAAAGTTAGCTTGAGATGTTTTTGTGAATGACTTTTATGTAGAAAATCTTGGGGAACAATTTGAAGTTTAGAAAGGCACACTTTTAATAGTTGAGCAAGGGACTCATTGAGGTCAAGGAACAGAACAAAGGTAGTCTGGTTATTAGTAGCTGACAAGCCTTTCTTGCTAAAGTGAGTTGGACCAAAGATGATGATGAATTCCTTGTGCCCATTTTTGCCCGCAGCTTCCTAGCATGGTTTAGTAAAAAAAAAAAACTGTTGATAAGTAGGTGTGTGCTTTGGGGACTTAAGATAGAAACGACTGATTGTTTTTTATATACAAAAGTTTAGATTTGTGATTCTTTTAAGATGTTTTTATTAGATTACCTTTTGAGATAAATGAAATTATTGATCCTTTCTTTGTAACCACAAAATGGAGGATGCCAGTAAAAGAACTGGTTGAGAAAAATACCTTGCTTGCTTATACTTTGTTAATAAATTATAAAAGAATCATTGTGTTGGGGTGAAGATGTTATACTGGGAAAATTAACACGAGGAAACATGTTTAACTGCTTGTGGGCTTCTAAGAAAACATGAAACTTGTGATCATAGTGTGATTTCTTCCAGTGAAAAGATTTTAATTTATTTTGGAAAATATGTAACCTGTGGTTGTGAGGTAATCTTTTCTTGTGTAGAAATTTTTGTATTAGGAGGTTTAAAAGGGCTAAGAGAAAAGAAGGAGAAGGAAAACATCAGGGAAGATAGAGAAGGAGAGCGTCAGGGAAGGAGGAGGAGGAAGACATCAGGGTAGAAAAACAAAAGAGAAAGAACAGAGTAAGAATAGCCATCATAAAGAGAATAATAAAATGAAGAATTAAGTTTTGACTCTTAGATAAATTTTCCATGTGTGTCTGTGTGTCTGTCCAATAGCTCACTGACTCCCTGCTTCCTCTTCAGTACCTGCTGAGGGTGGGTGCTTTGGCAAGAAATGAACTTCAGTCTCCTATCTCCAGAACACTGGCTCTTGTATCTATGGGCAGATAATAGTTGCTACCTTGGGGGGAGGGTGTGTGGAGAGAGTGGGGTGAGGAGTAGGAGGAGAGGAGGGAGTGGGAATTTGGGTTGGTATTTTTTTAAGTAATAAAATAATAATAATAAAAATAAAAGAATAGTTGCTACCTTATGGAGAGTAAGAGGGAACAAGGAAGGTGAAGTTTCAGCCAATGGGCTGAACAAAGACTGTCTTTTGGTCCTTTTGGTTCAGTTGCCTTAATCTGTCTTTGGTTTGTTCTATTTCTTGTCTTTTTTGTGTGTGTGTTCATATGTGTTGTGTGTGGAGTGGTGGTGATGGTGTATGTGTGTGGAGGTGTGGAGTGTGTGTATGTGTAGTGGTATGGTGTATATAATGATAATGTGTGTGTATGTGAGGTTGTGCATACTGTGGTGTGTGCTTGTGTGGTGTGGTGTGTGATGGGGTATGGTCTGGTGTATAGTATTGGTATATAGTGTGGTGTGTGTGTGGGAAGTATGGAGCATGATGTATAGTTCATTGCTGTGGGAACTCCTTCAGCCAGTAGCCATTAAGGTACCAGCCCACTTTGGGTGTGGTTTCATGACTATACTTGCAGACAAAAAGCTTGCAGGCCCTCTTGGCTGCTGGATTCAGTTCCAGTTCCCAGTGTATGCAGAGAACTGTGGATCATTTCCCTTACTGTGAGTCTGTCCCCAGATAAATAAACCTTTGCTATAGTCCATTCCAGGCTATTGTGGAACTCTTTTGTATGCCAACAAATTGGTGCCCAAAGTGCCCATGTGGCCTGCCTGAGTCCACACTGTTGCTGGGCCCTGCTCAGACCCCTGCCTGTGGCTTTCTTCCACCCCACGCAGCTGAAAGGCTCCCCAGTGAACTACCCCTCTGGTACACAGCTGCGCACAGTTTAGCTCCACTGGCTTGCTGTGGTGACTTGGTAATTTCCTGCCAGCCCATGCCTACATGGCTTGGTCCTGAACTGAGCATCTGAGTTGCTGCCGTACAGGGCTCTCTGCTGCAACTCCTCTGTGGCTTCTCTGGCTTCTGCCAGGCCTGCTCTGATCAGGCTAAGTCCTGACACCTGGAGCAGGGGCTCTGACCCTGCACCTGTAAGACAAGCTTGCATTCCCAGTTTGGATCCACAAATTCCTGGCCCTACCTCTGGCCAGTAACCTCGTGGCTCATAACTGCCTGCAAACTCTGGGTTCTTTGATATTCTCCCCAATTCAAACCTTCTCTGTATGCTGGCATGCTGCTCTTAATTAACCAAATTTGTTAGTAATTCTAAGTCTCAGGTAATTCAGGTACTAATCTAGGACCTACCTTATTGCCCAAATTGCAACACCTGCTGGCCAATCGAGATTATTACACCTACAACAATTTTCTGAAAATTATAACAGAGGTAAGTTAATTTGATTAATAAATAAATAAATACATAAATAAATTGGAAAATTGTAAACCAACCCCAAGATAATTACAGACAATATCACCATCCAGGAATTTAACAACGCTTTTTTTGTTTCTACTATGGATGAAACACTGCAAGAGCTATGTGACCTACCTGGCACATATAATTTTGTGGCCTTGATGGCTATTAGCTTTGTTTTTCATATTATATACTTAAAGAAATTACTTGATAACAGAGTCAAGAATGAGAAACTTTTAGGAAGGATATAGTTATTAGCTAAAAGGATTCATACTATTGAATATGATAACCTTAATTTGACAGGCAAAATTCAATCCATATGAATGGGTTATGAAACCTTACGAAAGGGAACTGAGAGATTATCTGAAAGGATTCATACTGTTGAAATTGACAATCAGAATCTGTTAAAGAGTTAGGATAAGCTAGCAGATAGACCATCCTTTCAGGAAGGCAATCTATACACCATCCAAATAATATCTAAGGATGAGAAGATACCATTAATGGAAAAATATAAAACCTTAGAATCACATGTGCAGAATGAGAACCAGAAATTAATTGATTTTATGAAATCATTAGAAATATTCACAGGCCAAGAGATTCAGGATTTACAGAAAACAGTGATAAAAAAGGTTTGAATTGATGGAAGAACTTGTCAGAATTGATAAACAAGGAGGGGAGGTACAGGCAAAGGATTTAGCATCACCAGCTTCTCTCAGAGTCAGAGATGACTTACCAAGAGTTTTGGCTACTTATCCTGTTATTACCTCTGAAAAGCCAGCAAATACTCAATACCCAAGTGAATATACAGAATTTAAATGGGAATCTATAGGTATGAAAGATCTAAAAGATATTAAGCAAGCAGTAGTATCTTATGGCATGCATTTACCATTTGTTAGGGAAATGATAAAGACATGGGCTTCAAGCAATAGGGTTCCTCCACATGATTGGCTTTAATTAGTCCCAGTGGTGCTAGAAGATGGGCCAAAGTGAAAGTGAAAGTACTATTGGAGAGAGGAAGCTAAAACCCTGAAACATCAAGGTGTAGTCAAAGGATTTGCGCCTTCCCAAGATCAAATTCTTGGCAAGGGCTGCTATGCTGGTCCACAAAGTTAAGCTATTTACAATGAACACATCTTGTCCCTATGCCATATGGCAGCCTTGAATGCTAGAGACAGGATTCAAGAATAGGAAGAATAATTGAATCACATGCTAAGATCATACAAGGCTCAATTGATATTTTTTTTTACAAAAATTAACTAAAGCTGTACAAATAGGGGTAACAGATCTAGAACTAGATGAGTACTTATTGAATCTCTAGTTTTTGAAAATGTCAGCTTAGAATTCCAAAAGATACTTGGGCCTTTACAGGTCAAATCAACACCAGTGAATGAATGAATCCTGCATATAGTCAATGTTGAGTCATTTGACTATAATACTGAGGCTTGAGTAGAGGAAGCAGTTTCCAAAGGTATGAAGAGCCATCAAAATACCAAATGTTTTAATTGTGGTAGAATAGATATCTGAGAAGGGATTGTAGACAAGGCATTCTTAGAAATAATGTTTCTTCTGGGGATGACAAAAATAGAAGGTCTCAACCTTTTGGATTATGTAAAAGATGTGGCAAAGGTTGATATTGGACCAATGAATGTAGATCAACAAGAGTCAAACAAGGCAACCCATTACCATTAGGAAACTCCTTGGGGAGCCTTTCACAGGCTCCCAGGTCAAATGTGGTCCAGTCATTCCCAATCACTGTGAAGGACATGCCTCCCCAGGAAAATTAGAAAATCCAGTACTTGTTGTAAAGAACCATACTGCTCTGGATGATAGAATAAACATGGAGGATGAATCAAAACTTCCAATAGAAAATAGGAAAAATATATTTTGTCAGACTTCTATAAATGATCAAAGACCAAAGCTGAGAGTATGAATAAACAACATTGTAATTGAAGGATTACTGGACATGGGTACGGATGTGACTGTTATTACTCCAGAATATTGGTATCTGAATTGGCCTTTTCAGGAGGCAGATGCTCAATTCCTAGGAACTGTAACCCTATCTTGAGTACAAAGCACAAGATGGGTTGAATACATAGGGCCAGGAGGGTAGAGAGGAAGGCTGAGGTCATATGTGGCTAATACAGCAGTGAATTTATAGGGTCATGATCTGTTACAACAATGGAATACCAGATAAATATTCCTGCAGTCTCAGAAACAGACAACAAACCAATTCATGTTTCTGGGAAGGATATTATAAGGTACTATAAAAACAGTCACTGACCATTCAGGCTGTACAAAAACACAGAACAAGTGGCAAACTCTCAGAGGTACCAGTGGCCCTACCTTAAAATGGTTAACTAAGAAACCTATATGAGTTAAACAATGGTCTTTAACAATAGAGAAACTGCAGGCTTTAGAACAGCTGGTACAGGAACAACTAGATGATCACCATATTGAAGAATCATCCAGTCCTTGGAATTCTCCTGTATTTGTTGTTAAAAAGAAATCTGGAAGATGGAGAATGGTGACAGATCTAAGAGCTGTTAATAAGGTTATCCAGCCTATGAGCCCTCTATAATCTGGTATTCCTTTGCCTTCCCTATTGCCTAAAGGATGGCCTCTTATAGTTATTGATTTAAAAGATTGTTTCTTTACTATACTGTTACAAGAAAAAGACAAGGAATAATTTGCCTTCTCAGTGCCTACTCATAATAATTCTCAGCCAACTAAAAGAAAGGTTACATAGCCACACCCTCTGCCAATATTTTGTAAGTAGCCATTGGAAATAATGCATATGCAATTTTCTGAATTTATAGTTTATCATTACTTGGATGATATTTTGTTATCTGATTCAAATGTAGATCCTTTAGAAAGAATATTTGAAGACATGAAGAAAGTTTTACCTAGTTGGGGATTACAAATTGCTCCTGAAAAAATATAGAGAGGAGATATTGTCAATTATCTAGGTTATAAAATAGTTTTACAGAAAATTAGAACACAGAAAGTGCAAATTAGGAGAGAGTGATTGCAGATTTTTAATGACTTCCAAAGATTGCTAGGAGACAATTCCAATCTATAGCCCACTTCTGGGATAAGACCTGACCAAATAATTCATTAAAAAAAAACTTAGATGGTGACCAAGACTTAAATAGTCTCAGGGAATTATCAGCTGAAGCTGAGAAAGAATTGACTTTGATTAAAAAGAAATTATAGGAGGCACATGTGGTTCTTGTGGATCTGAATCTAAAATTAAAACCTTATCTGGAAAAGGTCTCTGAATTAATTATAAAAGGACAATTGAGAAAAAAAGCTTTGGATACCATCAAAATTAATAAAGATTTGGTTTGAGAAGGAGAAATCTCTTAATAAAGAGTAATGACAGCTCATTCACAGAGATGACAATGTTACAGGTTGTAAGAAAACCTTATAAGGGTTGGGGGCAGGATTCTGTTCTTGTCTTTGCAGGAAAATACCAATCTTCAAAACTCAAGGGACCTTGGACAGCTAGACGGCTTAAAGAAGAAAAGATAAATATCCAGAAAGAATCACCAAGCAAAGAGAAATCTGACTCATGATACCAATAACTTCTGTAGGTAAACTTTGAAGTTTCCAGGAAGAAGACAGGGCCCCATAACAATGACTCCACCTGGTTGATATGATGTCATTATGCTGATAGCACCACTTTAAGATCAGTTTTGGGTTACAAACTGCTCAAGATGATTCCAGCTTGGCTAGCTGAGATGGTGCACTTTCTTATAATGTTCCGGCCACAGCTTTGAATAAGAACTTCAGAAAAAAACCTACCGATTACTCAAATACTATCTGTAATTATTCCAAATAGCAATCTTGAAGCTTAACCATCATTTTAGTTTTTGAGGATTCCATAGAAATAACATCACCCCATAATAGCTGGAAGTAATTCTAGAAGAGTCATCTCCCCTCTCCCAACAAAGTTTATCTTCAGGGCTAGGGATATTATTAGGGCTTGGTTATAACTGGTATAGGGTTGGGGGTGGAAACGAAGTAGGCTCAAGGATCTCTTTTGTAAAATAAAGGGAATGGATGGGATGGGATAATAGGTAGATTAGTGTGAGCTTCTTCACAGTAATAATAATAGCAAGTAATAGAATTCTTGTGAGCTATTATTTATAGATCATTTACATTGGCATAGATTTTTGTATATTGATACAAATTTAAATTATATTTGTTATATTGAATATGTTCCTATTTCTGTTTACAATATTTGTGTACCTATGCAAAGTTATTTTGGCATATTGTATGCATGTATGTTTCTACCTCAGCTTAAGATATTTTGTATATTGATGTAACCTTAGGATATATTTTTCATATTGCACTATACATTTCTACCTCTGATCAAGATACTGTTTACATCAAGATATTGTTTACATTTTGAGTTCATTGTCCTCATTTGCTACACATTTAAGAGTTGTTTAATTTTTTAATATGAAGCTATAGTCTTTAAGCTATATAGGTATTAAGAACTATAGGTTAATAGTCACCCATGTTTGTCATACTTGTAGTTAGATTAATCAAGGTTCTTTAGATGCATAGAAATTGTATTCTGGGGGCTGGAGGGATGGCTCAGAGGTTAAGAGCACTGACTGTTATTCCAGAGGTCCTGAGTTCAATTCCCATCAACAACATGGTGACTTACAACCATCTATAATAAGATCTGGTGCCCTCTTCTGGTCTGTAGGCATACATGCAGACAGAACACTATATACATAATAAATAAATCTTTAAAAAAGAGAGATTGTATTCTACATAGATAGGTAATCTTCAAACACTTCAAAGAACTATAGATATGGCATTTAAATAGCTTAGGATTCTGTTAATGTGAAACACGGTGCTCCTGAGAATCTATTTCAGAGAATGATGGGAACTGAAGACACTCTACTTGGAACTGTTTTCATCTTGGCAAAACTGGACTTTGGACAAAAAACTGCCTCTGCCTTGACTACAGATAAAATGCACAGTGTCCAGACTGGACAAGCAGGATGTAAGTGAAAAGACTGCCAAACCTTGTCAAGACAGGTTAAGATGGTTTTTCAAATTTTCCTGCCTCTGAAAATGTTGGTTGCCCAAATGTTGCAAACGAGACTTTGTGTGATTGACTAGGTAGTCAGTTGTCTCTGTCATTTTTTGCAACTTTTGGAAGTTGCTTGAATGCATTTTCTGTTTACTCAAGTAATACTATTTTCCATCTCAGGTCTTTGATGAGGTTGAAGACTAGATAATCATAGTTACTTTCCTCTCATGACTTAGCCAAGTCATTTTTAATATAAGACTCAGACTCTTAGAATAACTATTGAAACATTTAGCATATGTTTCTTGTTTGATGTTGTTCATGCTGGTTGTAATTCTATTTTTTATGTATGTTTTTGCTCTTCTTTTCCCTGGACAATACTTGATATTTGTCCTTATTGTATATAGTTTTGTATTAGGCTTATAATTCTCTTATTTGGACAAAAGGGGGAGATGCTGTGGGAACTCCTTCAGCCAATAGCTTTTAAGATACTGACCCACTTTGGGCGTGGTCTCATGTACTATATATGCAGACAAAAAGTATGTGGCCTTCTTGGCTGCTGGATTCAGTTCTAGTTCCCAGTACACACAAAAGACTGCAGATTCTATTTTTTTTTAATGAGTTTATCCCCAAATAAATAAACTTTTGTTATATTCCATTCTGGGCTATTGTGGAACTCTTTTGTACACCATCAGTTCATGCATGTGAGCATGTGATTATATGTGTGAACCAGCACTCACTTGTGGAGACCAGAGCAAGGCATCAGATATCTTCCATCTCATCTCCTCAAGACAAGGTCTTTCAGGGTCTCTCAGGGTCTCTTAGCTTTTTGTTTAGGCTAGGTTGACATACCCATGAGCTCCTGGGATTCACCTGTCTCTGCTCTGAAATGCTGCGATTACAGGCATGTCTGGTTTTTCTGTGAGCACTGAAGATTTAAACTCAGGTTCTCATGCCTTAGGTTTGCTAGGTCAGTCACTGTCACTGAGCCACACCCCTAGATCTGGACTATTTCTTGACATAAATGATTCTTTAGCTACAGATGAAAACTTAGAAGGGTGGATCTTTGGTTCTCAGTCAGCTTACAGTACAGAAGGGTGAATATTTGGTTCTCATTAGGCTTACCGTACAGAAGGGTAGATCTTTGATTCTCAGTGTGATTACAGTACTTGTCTATGCTGAAATGTTGGGTAATAAACAAACAATGGTCACCATTTAGGGGTTTCACTTGTATGTGTGTGGAGGTGGCTAGACAGAGCCTCGTGACACACTGAACCTGGGAGGGCCTCTGTCTTCCTTAAGCAACACTTCCACACAGTGAGACAAGGGTACAGCAAGGAAAGAGACTGACCACACGGGAAGTCTTCACAGGAGAGAGTATGTTTTAGTTGGGTCTTAAGAAAAATGCAGTGTTCTCCAAAGAAAGAGGAGGAGGAAGGTCTCACAAACAGAGCCATGGAAGCAGAACCTCAGTTAAAACCTAAGCAAAATCTAGAACTGTAGAGCCAGCATCATAATGCCCCTGGGGCAGTCTGAGCATCAGACAGCAGCCGCTTGCCATGGAGTGAAGCTGGGAAGCTGTTCATCCGGGTAATAGCATCAGGGAGTGTTATTAAGTATGCCCCATATGTTTGCACTCTGTACACACATACCTCAGCTTTTTTAATTTTCATGGATTCATCTACCCATGTCCACCTGCAAGCAAGGACACCAAACCTGGATACTTCTCTGATGGCCACATGCCCAGAGGAGGCCAGTCCCACTGGTTTCTCTTTCCTGTGGAAGTTGGGGCCTGTTTGAGTGCACTCACGTATTTGGTGTCTCCCCTGAGAGAAGTATGCTGCTCACAGACTTATATGATGAAGCCAGAATGAGCTTTGTTCAGCTGGGAATCATTGTTCAGCTGGGAATGGGGAGGGGTGGGAAGAAAGTGCATGAGATGACAAGGTGGAAAATTAGAGGTGGCTAAAATTAAGAGATATTACTCACACATCTCAGACCTACGCCCACACCTGCTTTTCTTCCTGGTTTTCTTCCTTTGTTCTCTCTTCTGGTTTTGAGTAGGGCTGGTAAGAAGAAACAGAGAACCTCAGTTCCCAGAGCGGTCGCCCCGATGTCCATAATCTGGGAGGTAGTGCCAGTTCCTTGGTACAGTGGCCACTGTGACTTCAGTCTTCCTCCTTTGGCTTTTTCTTCGGAGGCTCCACTTAAAGGCCCCCTCTTCCCCTTGGTGAAGGCATCAGAGATGAGGGAGTTTGTCAATAGGGCTGGTGGGTGGTGACAGAAGCAGGATGGAGGGGAAGGAAGTGGTGTGGGGGTGTCTTTAGAGCAGAGGAAGGGAATCGAGGAGGGAGGAGAGGGAGTGAGCCATAAATGTTACATAAATGGCTGGTTCTGTATTGGCCCTTTGGGACCTTCTACCTGCCTCTGGGCTTTAGAAAGCGGCGACTTTCCTTCGGGTTCACTGACCACAGGGCAATGGCTGGTACTGGACTCTGGAATTTCTCAAGCAGCTCTGCACAGCACCAGAGATGCTCAGAGTCTGTGCTGGAGTCAGCTGAGTGGGCATTTTAATGTTGCCATTGCTGAGAAGAAACAACATGATGAAAGCAGCTCGAGGAAGAAAGGGTTTATTCGGCTTATGATACTACATCACTGTTTATTGTTGAAGGAAGTCATGGTAGGAACTCAAGCAGGGCAGGAACCTGGATGCCATGGAGGAGTGCTGCTTACTGGCTTGCTCAGCATGGTTTCTGAGAGAATCCAGGACCACCAGCCCAGGGATGGCATCACCCACAGTTCTAGGCCCTCCCACATCAATCACTGAGAAAATGCCTACTGGCTTGCCTGCAGCCTTATCTTATAGAGGTATTTTCTCAGCTGAGGCTCTTTCCTTTCTGAAGGCTCCAGCTTCTGTTGACATAAAACTAGGCAGCACTATGCTCCTTAGAGGGACCAGAGTGACCATCATACAATGTGAATACGCTCTTGTCCCACATTGTGGATGAGGGAGAGTCAGGGTACCAGATTCTATGTTCCAAGAAGTCTATGTTCAGAACCCAGCTTCTGCTGCTCCCCAACTATGCTGCGTGCGCCCCAGCTCCCATTAGGACCGTTGTTGACATAGTTATATAGAGCCCTGGCCAAATGGAAGTTCCTTTTTTCTCTTTACTGGGTACTAGCCACCATGGTCACTCTGAGATTTCTACTGTTTTCCAAGCCTCCTTCTGTTGATCTGTAAAATGCCTCCTCTGTTTACAAGGCCAGTGTGAGGATGAGGTCACACATGGAGCACATATAAAATCTCTCTATATTTATGAGCTGTAAAGAGCTTAGTTGATTGCATTTAAACACACATACGTTCCTTGTTTAGTTCTTTGATTGCTTAAATCAGAGTTTTATGGTTTTTCTCATATAGATTTTTATGTATTTTGTTAGTTTTTATACATAACTATTTCAGTTTTAGGGTGCTAATGTAAAGGGAGATTTTTTTCTTAGTAATTTTATTTGTTAATGGCTAGTATGTTAAAAAGTGATTAATTTTTGCTTATTAACCACATATCCTGAAAACTTGCTATAATTGCTTGTCAGCACCAAGAGGAATATTTAGGGAGGGGTGCTTTGTTAGTGTTCTCAGGTTTATGATATAGGTGATCATATGGTTTATGAATAGAGTTTTATTTCTTACCAACCTGATGTCATTTTTTTTCTTGCCTTATTTCCTCAGAATTTCAAGTGTAATGTTGGGAAGGAGCGATGAGAGGACTATCCTTAGCTTTTGCTGATGTTTGCAGAGTGATTTCTAGTTATCACCATTAAGACTGATATCTGCTCTGGGCAGATGCCCTTATCAGGATAAGGAAGCTCTGCTTCTATTCTGATGAAATTTTTTCTTTTTAATCATGAATAAGATTTTGTTAATTTTTCATCTGTTGATCTTCCTTCTCCTCTTCTTCCTCTCAGGACCCAGACACGGAGCACCTCTCAGGACCGTCTCTGAAGAGAGTGAAGGCCAAAGCTCAGCACGTGTCTCATGGTGAGAAGAATAAACTGGCTGCCCTCAGATCATTAACAGTTCTCTCAGGGCTGGAGAGATGGCTCAGTGGTTAAGAGTACATGCTGTTCCTGAACAGAGAATTCTCAACAGAAGAATTTCAAATGGCCAGAAGATACTTAAGGACATGTTCAACTTCCTTAGCTATCAGGGAAATGCAAATCAAAACAACTTTGAGATACCATCTTATACCTGTCAGAATGGTTAAAATAAAAAAAAAAACCCACCAATGATAGCTTATGCTGGAGAGGATGTGGAGTAAGGGGAATACTCATCCATTGCTGGTGGGAATGCAAACTTGTGCAACCACTTTGGAAATCAGTGTGGCGGTTTCTCAGGAAACTGGGAGTCAACCTACCTCAGGATCCAGCAATACCACTCTTGGGAATATACCCAAAAGATGCCCAATCAAACCACAATAGAATTTGTTCAACTATCTTCATAGCAGCATTATTTGTAATAGTCAGAACCTGGAAACAACCTAGATGTCCCTCAATGGAAGAATGGATAAAGAAAGTGTGGCATATTTATACATTAGAGTACTACTCAGCAGTAAACAAACGATGACATCTTGAATTTTACATGCAAATGGATGGAAGTAGAAAACACTATCCTGAGTGAGATAACCCAGACCCAAAAATATGAATATGGTATGTACTCACTCATTAGTGGATTCTAGCTGTAAACAAAGGACATTGAGCCTATAGTTCATGATCCTAGAGAAACTAAGTAATAAGGTGAACCCAAAGAAAAACATATATAGATCCTCCTGGAAATTGGAAGCAGACAAGATCGCTAGGCAAAAGTTGGGAGCATGGGAGCAGGGGAGATGTAGAGGGAAGGGGAGAGGGGGAGAGACGGGAGAAGGGGAGGGTTGGGAGAGCTTCGGAACTGGGATGGTTGAGATGGAGGAAGGGCAGATATGGGAGCAGGGAAGGAGATATCTTAATTGAGGAAAGCTGTTTGGGGTTGGCAAGGAACTTGGTTCTGGAGGGGTTCCCATGAGTCCATGGGGATGACCCCAGCTAGGACCTTGGGCAGTGGAGGAGAGGGCGCCTGAACTGGCCTTGTCCTATAGTCAGACTAATGACTATCTTGAATATCACCATAGAACCTTTGTCCAGCAACGGATGGAGATAGAGACAGAGACCCACATTGGAGCACTGGACTGAGCTCCCAAGGTCTATTTTAAGAGCTGAAGGAGGGAGAATATGAGCAAGGAAGTCAGGACCACACGGGGTTGGTTCACTGAGACAGTGTGCCTAAGCTAATGGGAGCTCACCAACTCCAACTGGACTGGGATTGAACGACCATGGGATCAAATTCGACCCTCTGAATGTGGTTGACAATTGAGGCAGACTAAGAAGCCAATGATAATGGCACTGGGATTTGTCTCTACTGCATGTACTGGCCTTTTGGGATCCTATTCTATTTGGATGCACACCTTCCTAAGCTTGGATGTAGCGGGGAGGGCCTTGTATTTCCCACAGGGTAGGGTACCTTGGATTTCCCACAGGGCAGGGTACCTTGTTTTCTCTTAGGACTGGAGAGGAGTGGGGGAGAGAGTGTGTGCTGGGGAGCAGGAGGGAAGTGGAAGGAGGGGAGTAAGTGGGAATTTTGATTGATATTATTTATAAAGTAATAAAAAAGAAATATAAAAAATTAACAACAATAACAAAAAAGAGTACATGCTGTTCTTCCAGAAGACATGGGTTCAATTCCCAGCACCCACATGGCAGCTTACAACTGCTGTAACTCCAAGATCTGACACCCTCTCTCACAAACATACATGCAGGTAAAGCACCAATACATATAAAATAGATAAATAAAAATGAAAAATAAGCCCAGTTCTCCCAAGTGAATTCTCAAGCAGGTTCCCCATCCACATCCTTGTCCTGATAGCGTGGGTGGGACAGGGATGGGGATGGAGGTGGGGGTGAGGGTGGGGGTGGGCAGGAGTCTCAGTCCAAAGGCCTGCGCAGCTTTTCTGTGTCCACCCAAGTACCCCTGGCTTTTATGGCTCTTCCTAGGGCCACTCAACCACGAGACGTTCCAGGAGGTTGGGCTCCATGCCATGGCAGGTCCAATGACTGCCTTCCAGAGGATAGTGTTTGGAGTTACCCAAAAGGACAGGGGCATCAGAGCCAGGAGGACAGACTCCAAGTCTCCTCCAAAGCTTTGGTGAAGGACCCCCTTTCTTCCTTCCCAGAAACCCTGCTTCTCAGCTGTCCCACCTCAATCACCTCACACTGGCGGACGGGGCTGACTGCTACGGCAGCAGCCTTCTGCAGACTCTGTGTCGGGCCCCGCCCCCTCAGATTCTTTTCCCCACAGGGATGACTGTTCTGTGGCCATAGATTACTCTCGACACCTAATTACTGTATATCATCATGCCATAAAATGATGATTGGAGGTGTCACTGTCCCAAATTTGCGCTCATAAAATACGCATTCTTTTGTTTTCCTCCTCTGCATTTGTCTGGGAGAAAAGACAGGCAAATTTATTCCAACTTTTCAGAGGAACTTAAAAGCACAGGAACAGAAGACTTTTACAGGTGGGTGGTTTTAAAAATACTCTGCAGAGCGAGGCGGCCCGAGCCCAGCCGAGTCTGTGTGGCCCAGGGAGGAAAGGGAGCCTTTGGGGGAATCAGCTTCTCTGCTTCACCTGCCTGGCAGAACCTGTCCTTCATCCGGTCACCTGACCCCATCTTCCCTTCTGTCACCCCTACCCTCGTGAGCCTTTTTTTAGGGAACAAGGGCCTCTCCTCAGGCTGGACTGCCATTTGATCTCGGTAAGTTTTATAACCTCTGCACCTCTGAGGTATTGGTTCCAACACAAAAAATGGGGACTAGTGAACCCTATCTCTACCCCACTCTGCTTCCATGAGAGTTAAAAATAAAACCACTGTGGAGGTGAGGTCTCCTAACCCAGCAGAAGGACACGCAGAGGCCGTATTTCTTTTCCCCCTCCATACATTCTCCTCTTGTCCTTCCTAGGAGGGTGTCAAAGTCCTGGTCACTCTTCAGCTGGGGAGAATTCCGTTCTGTGGGGTGGCCTGCAACCAGGAGCCATAGGACAGTCATGCCATTAACCTGGTTGGCATATCGGGCAGAGGCTTGGATTCAGTGAGCACCACACTTGGATCTCCATGGGCTTTGGGAGTAGTTCTCTACCTCAGGCGAACTTGTGATTCCACACCAACTAGCAGGTGATGTGGCCTTAGAACAAAACTTAGGGGTTTGTGGGGAGAGGCTCACTTGCTTCCCAGCAGGCACCGCTTGCCCGTAGCTCTAGATCTAGGAGTGGGACCCCGTGGAGCTTCCCCTCACCATGTTAATATGCCATCGCTCCAGCCTTGTCTCTGCAGCCATTCCTAGGAGACACTGCTTCACAGCAGACGTCCTTGTATCTGGTTCTTACAATCTCTCCTCCCCCTCTTCCTGTTGGGGCTGGGATCCCCATGATCTGGTGAACTCTGCATTGTGTCTAGTGGTGGTTTTCTGTGATGGTCCTCCATTTGCCGTTCCAGGGAGGGTAGCCAGGAGGGGCTAGAGGGAGGAAGAGGGGGCTGGCATAATTGTTTTAACTAAAAACATATTTAAAAAACAACTTTGTGAGTAGGCAAAGTAGAGCAGGGCTGCCACAGTGGGGCCCCTCTCCTATCATACATCTCCTCTGCCTGGATAGCACCTCCAGAAAAGCCTTTTCCACCTTCCTCACCCAGGGTAGAGGTGTTCTTCCCCTACCTAGGGCCCTTTCTGCACTGGCCTGCTGCAAGGGGGTAGACCCCCAACAAGGGTTATGTATGGTCTGGACCACCTGGCACCCCGGATCTGCTTCTCCAAGCACCATGGACTGGTCCAAAGGCTGTCTGCCTTTCTTGGTTGTTTTGCTAGGACAGTGGCAGACTAGCCTGCTCACCACAGAAGCAAGGTGCCTAGTCAGCATCTGGCACGCTGTGGGCACAGCAGTGGGCACAGCAGTGGGTATCATGCTTGGTGTGTTCCTGGCTCCATTCTAAACACATTGCCTGCACCACCTCAGAGAATCCCCAGAACAACCCTAACCGATTGTGGCAAGTAGAAGCAGCGACCCAGAAGGCTTGGGCCTTTGTCCCTGTGTGGCTTATTTCCTGTGTGACATTTCTGTCCCTCACTGTTACATAACTTCCCACTCCATAGAATTGCTATGCAGTTAATCACACACATCAGGTGGCTGTGTGTTGTGCATCGGCCCACCTTACAGTGGCAGAAGGTGAGAGAGAATTTTAGTAACTTCATGAAATTCACAGGGTCTAAGAAAGACAGCTGGGACTCAAACCCAGATAGTTGGACTCCTGGGGCCTTGCTGTTAATCTCTCTCTGTTGGTGGATGCTGCTCAGACTCGAAATAATCACACAGAAACTATATTATTTAAATCACTTCTTGGTCAATCACTTAAGTGTATTGCTAGCTAGCTCTTATATCTTTGGTTAATCCATTTCTATTAATCTGCGTATCACCACATGGCTGTGGCCTACCGGTAAGGTTCTGGTGTGTCTGTCTACATGGCTTCTCCTTGACTTTGCCTACTCTCTCTGTATATGTCTCTTCCAGCCTGGCTACATTCTGTTAAGCCATTGGCCGAAAGCAGCTTCTTTATTAAGCAATGGCAATAAAACATATTCATAGCATACGGAGGGGAATCCCACATTCTCCTTCTCTCTCTCTCTCTCTCTCTCTCTCTCTCTCTCTCTCTCTCTCTCTCTCTCTCTCTCTGTCTCTCCTTTTTCCCCCCCCCCCCCCCAAGAGAGGATTTCTCTCTGGCCCTGGCTGTCCTGGAACTCACTTTGTAGATCAGGCTGGCCTTGAACTCAGAGATGTGCCTGCTTCTGCCTCTAGAGGGCTGGTATTAAAGGTGCTGGCCTCCACTGTCCAGCCTTGCTGTTAACCTCAACACTGAAGAGTTTGCCAAAACCTATGTGAAGACCTGGCTTTCTCTAGGAATCTCTGCAGGGGTCTCTCTTCCTTTGAAAAAAGGCAGCTGAAACGTGTTAGGCCTCTCTTGTCTTGCTGCTATCTGAGATTTTCTCCACGTAAAAACAGCGCGGTTCTCTAACTTGATGGCTGGATCCACAGGTGTCTCTGGCCGACGGGCGGGTCCCCAGTGTAGTGACTTATTTTGCAATCTGACAAGCTGTTGCCACGAGGAACATAACCTACACCGGGCACGTGAAAGAGCCTTGGAGATCACATGCCCATAGGCTGGACCAACGCTGAGGTTACCCAGGGGTTCATGGCCATTGTCCCTGATATATAAGGCCGAATCCAAAGGCCATTTCGAGGGGTGCCAGAAATCATGAGATCTAGGGTTCTGGGAGGTGTGGATCCAGTCTTGGTGTGTCACGCATGCTGTGTGATCTTTGGTTGTTTGTCATCCTCTCTAGCCCCAGCAGCGGTCCACGAAAGGAGTCTGGCCGGCTGATACGTTCTGCAACTGT